TTTGGGAATCTGCTAAGTAAGATGCACTTAATTACTTTAGCTATGACTACATCACATTTCACTCGTGTTCCCTCTGAGATGCAAAGCATCTTTTCAGCAGAGGCTGGCAGAGCCATCCCAAACCTTTTGCAGCACCTCGTGGTGAGTTTGGTGTGCTGAATGCCTGGGATGGAGACCTGGCTGTCACAGCCTCTCCTGCTGGTGATAGAGCTGATAACATCTGGAGGGCAGTTATTTATTTGCACATGTGCTTCTCTTGGGCTCTGTGGGGATACTGAGTATTTTGGGGAGGGGAAAGGCCTCAGTGAGCCCAGGGCTGGGGTTGCATCCCACAGGGCCCGGGGGGCTGTTGCAGTTTTTTACCTTCTTTCACTTTGATTTGTGATCACCCCAGTTTCATTCACCGTTTACTTGCCTGATTAGGGCATTTGCTGCAGGGGAGCATCTCAGAATCCTGCTCCTGGGTCTGTCTTCCCTTGGGTCTTTTCTGAAGGGATATCACCTACTTTGGGTGTCCTCTGAAATAGCTCGGTGTCTCAGGGTCCCGCAGCAGGAAGCAGGACTAACCCTTCCCCCTTGAACCAAGGCCACTGTCACCCTCAAGCCCCTGGAAGAAGCTCCAGAGCTTCTCACAAACCACTCACCTTCATTTTCACCCCAAACATTTCACATCTGGAAAACACAGATGCCTTTTCCATCACTTGCCCTCTCCAGTCCTGAAGAGTCCTTCTGCAGAACCTCCTGGACTTGGGGAGAAGAGGTGGAGACGTGGGAGAGGGAGAGAGGGTGTCAGAACCAGCAACATTCAACTAAAATCAAGGTTTTTTCATAGAATTGTAGGATGATTTGGGTTGGACAGGACTGTTAAAGCTCATCTCATCCCATCCCCCTGCCATGGCAGGGACACCTTCCTCTATGCCAGGTTACTCCAAGCCCTGTCCAACCTGGCCTTGGGCACTTCCAGGGATCCAGGGGCAGCCACAGCTTCTCTGGGCAACCTGTGCCAGTGTTTTACCACCTTCACTGTAAAAAAACTTCTCCCTTATATATAACCTAAATCAACCTTCTTTCAGTTTAAACCATCCCCCCCTTGTCCTCTCACCACAGGCCCTGGTTAAAAGTCTGTCCCCATCTTTGTTATAACTCCCCATTTATGATGTAAAGAAATAGGCAACTGCTTGGGGGGAGGTATCTGGGCTAAGGTATCCTTGGAGAGGGGATGTCCCAGGAAAAATGCAGTGTCCACACTTTCTAAGAGGGGGCTGTGGTGGGGTTGTGTCAGCAGGAGGCTTCTGCCTGAGATCTCTGAGCCAGGGCTCAGGTTTCTGGTTTTTTCCTACTAATTTTCAGAGGCATTTGCAGCACGTGGCCCATATCCATAATTGCACTCCTGGACTTGTTCTGCTCTGATGCATAAATAACATGCACTGTAAAGAAAAAGTGTATGATTACATATTTAATGGATAAACGGAGCCGTTGTGGTCTATTGGCCACATAATAAAAGTTTCCAAAAAAAAAAAAAATTGTCTTAATACAGTGTTTCCCCAGGAGACTGCCGTGGCTGAAACATGAGGGAGCTATTTTAAATTTAAAAAAAATTTTTTTAAGCCACGTTTCATAGCCTTCCCCATTCCTGCAACACCCGTCTTCTAAACTTTTCCTTCATTTAAATTTAAAATGAGGACAGTAAATTATTCTTTTCCTGCAGCAGCTGGCAGATCCTCTCCAGCGCGAAAAGGTCTGGATTAAAGTGACGAAACCCAAGACAAACGTACCTTTTCCCCTGGAATTTGGGAAGCAGCTTGCTGCTTTCACGCCCCTGTCCCACCTTGGCCATTCCCGTGGCTTTTTGCCAATTCAATTGCAAGCGCAGAAATTGCCTCTCTGGTGCCTCCTGTGCTGCCCAAGCCTGGTGTCCATCCCCGTGGCTGCATCATCCTCGATGTCTTTGTGACCAGGATTTCCCACACCATGGCCAGGAGAGGCCAGAGCTCTGCAATAAGGCACATAATAAGGTTTCGAGGGCACATAAATCTTGCCAGAGCAAAGCCAGCCCTGCTGCCTCCTGGACACCACCAAAGCCATGGGGAGCGATTCAGAGTGGCCTCTAAGTCAGCCTCAGTCAGGCTCCTGCTGCTGCTGAAATGCAAGACAGTATTTAATTCCTGTGAGTTAAATCCCTTCACTTCGTAATTAATACGAAAAAAGGGCAGATCTAGGAAAACTTGTGCCCCTGATACCACAGCTCTGCTGATGGAGAATCCAGAGGAGAGCAGAACAAGCAGAACATGCTGTGGGGTGTTGTGTAAAGCTCTTGATTCCTGACCTGCAGCAGTAAATCTGGTTTTGCACTCGGATTTGTTTCCTCTGAAGCCCACCGAGCCCTCACTGGTCTTCCCTGGGTTTCCTTCTGTGTGTGCTGCTAATGGAGTTGGCAAACCTCCCCTGGTAATGAGAGATCACACCTCAGCAGGCTTATCAGCAATGAAGATTGTTAATAAATAAAGCTCGGGTCTTTAAACTCCTGTTAACATTAATCAGATTAATATGAAAGAGAAAAAGCCTGGAAAACGGTTCAGGCAGGGTTTGCCTCCCTCCCACTCCATGGTTGGATGAGGCTGTGTGGGAGCTGGGCTCTGCCTGTGTGAGCTGTGTGAGTTCTGCTGCTGGGAATGACCAGGCAGGGATTGGTCTTGGGGGAAAAAATTGGGTTTTCATGGAAAATACTACAAACTGGAAATGGGGTCTTGGAGCAACAAACAGCAGGGTTTGTCCCATCTCATGTTCGCTTCTTGGTGGACAGGGGGTGGACACGCTGGAAGGAGTCCAGAGGAGGTCCTGGAGATGCTCCAAGGGCTGGAGCCCCTCTGCTCTGGAGCCAGGCTGGGAGAGCTGGGGGGGTTCACCTGGAGAAGAGAAGGATCCAGGGAGACCTGAGAGCCCCTTCCAGGGCCTAAAGAGGCTCCAGGAGAGCTGGAGAGGAACTTGGGACAAGGACCTGAAGTGACAGGACAAGGAGAATGGCTCTAAACTGAAAGAGGGCAGGGTTAGATGGGATTTAAGTTCTTCCCTGTGAGGGTGGCAAGGCCCTGGCACAGGTTGCCCAGAGAAGCTGTGGCTGCCCCAGCCCTGGAAGTGTCCAAGGCCAGGTTGGACAGGCTTGGAGCAACCTGGGCTGGTGGAAGGTGTCCCTGCCCATGGCAGGGGCTCGAAATGAGGTGACCTTTAAGTTCCCTTCCCACTCAACCCAGTCTAGGATTCTGTGATTGTTGCTGCTCCCTCCTGATCCAACCACTTGAACTTTAGTTTGTGCCACAGCACGGGGAATATACACTTCATAAGGTACTTTTATTATGTCTAATGCAGCATTCAACATTTCTCATTAGACATATATATATATATATATATGTTTCATGTTTCCTTCAAATCTTTCAAGAGCAGTGGGCTCAGCAGCCTCAGGAGGCAGCACTTGTGCCGTGTCCGTGTGTCCCTGCAGCCGTGTGTCATTAGTCACCTTCCAGTCCTATCAGATGTTCCCCCTCTCTCCCATTATGAGAGCAGATTAATGGGTATTAGGAAACTCCACATTTTTGGGCACAGCTCCGTCACGTGGCCTCTTCCCCTCATCTCTTGCCTCCACACATGCACACACATACATCGCTTCTGGCTCCTTCCTTCACTGGGAAATCTTAACAAGCAGCCCATAATTGGGTTTTTTTTCCCTTGTCTGGACTCTTTTTTTTTTTTCTTTATTTTCTACATTCATTTTGAGTGGGATTGGAACAGATTGTAATATTTAAAAATGAGAGAGTCATCTCGAGGTGGAGGTGGTGGCCACCAGCAGATCTTGCCTTCACACCTTGGGGTCCAGTCCAGGGAGAGCTTAGACCCCCTTCCAGTGCCTGAGAGCTCCAAGAGAGCTGGACAAGGGCCTGTAGTGACAGGCCAAAGGGGAATGGCTTTAACCTGAAAGAGGGCAGGGTTAGATGGGAAAAATTCCTCCCTGTGAGGGTGGCGAGGCCCTGGCACAGGTTGCCCAGAGAAGCTGTGGCTGCCCCATCCCTGGAAGTGTCCAAGACCAGGTTGGACAGGGTTTTAAGCAACCTAGTTTAGTGGGAGGTGTCCCTGCCCATGGCAGGGGGTGGAATGGGATGATCTTTAACTTTCCTTCCAGCCCAAACCATTCTGGGATTCCATGGTTCTGTGTTATGATGCTTGGGGCTTCTGGAGCTTGGGGATATTCAAACCTCTGGTTTGAGGGTGGTGTCACAGTTTTGGGCAGATTGATGTGGTGGGAGCAGGGACCTGGGGCTTCCAATGACGGCTGTTGCGCTTTCTTGTTTCTAGGTTTAACCCCAGTAGCACAAGTGACCCAACAGCCCTGCAGAGGGTGCAGGGGGGTTGGGTGTGGTACCTTCAGATACTCAGATGAGCAGATATTTTTTTCACCTCTGTAGTTACTAAATGTCAGCACCAAGTATCGCACAGAAAGACCATGTTTGGGATACACAACCTCTGATGCTGCATCCCTGATGTACCAGGGCTTGTCCCCAAATACCCTGGCACAACATGTGCCTGCCCTCAGCAATGGCCTTACATTGCAGCCCCAGAAATGCCCAGTAACTTGTAATGCCGTCCTTTCTCCTGGTGATGTGGCCAAAAATTGCTCATTTATGAACATTTTGGCTTTATATCCCAGGCACTGGCGGTCCCTGAGGCAGGCAGGGACACCTCCTGGGCACACAGACCTATGTACAGAGGTGATTTAGGATCTCTCTGTAATGCTCATGGGCAGGGGGATGGCAGGAGCAGAGCCCTGGGGGCACAAGCGCTCAACTCCTGCTGATGGCCTTTTTGGTAGGGAGCACGAGGAAGACTCTCCCAGCCACAGAGAACGATTTAGACAATAAATCAATCAGACCTCATCTTGAAGTGATCTGACAGCGTAATAAATCCATAAGTACATTTTGTAATGACGAGGTGATCTTCTCCTAACTCAGATCCAGGAGATGGTCCACTCGGACGCCGCGTCCTACGATTCCAACCGCCAAGTGCCCCTGCTCAACCGCCCCGGGATGCTGGCCGGCCCCATGAGCGCTCTCAGCCAGTCCCAGCTCATCTCTCAGATGGGGATGAGGAGTGGTGTCACCCACGGCTCCCCCTCGCCCCCGGGAAGCAAGTCTGCTACACCATCTCCCTCCAGTTCTACTCAGGAAGAGGAGACAGAGTCACATTACAAGGTACGTGCCTGTTTCAACAGCGAGAAAATGGGGGGGGAGGATGTTCTTCAGCGAGGGATAAATTGTGCTAAATAGACTTTTACTTTGAATATACAGAGTGGGAGACTTCCCCAAGGGTGAGGTCACTGTTCCCAGCCCAGGGTGAGGCCCAGCACTCACCCAGAAGGTTTGGAGATGAGAGCTGGGCTTCTGCCTCCACATTTTACCAGGACCATCGAGCTGCAGAGTTTCTTCCTACGAGGCTTTTGATGAGCAAAGCAGGTTCAGGGCTGAGGGTCTGCAAATGCTTGAGGCAAAATTAGATTTCTAGTGGTGGGTAGAGGAGACTAAAACAGGGAAGGAAGATACCCCATGGTGGGATTTAACTGAGCTCACTGGGCATGGCTTGCTAAGGAAAAAAACCCAGAAATTAAAAAAGGAAGAGTCTTTTAGTTCACCCAGGTGGTGTTTTAAGTAGTCAGCAGTGTCTCAGTGGTCTCTACAGCCAACACAACTGCTGCTGAGCATGGCATGAACAAACCCAAGGAATTCCTAGGGTTTGGGGCACATCTTGGTCATTGCCCATCTCTCTCAAAATGCACCAGCAGAGCAAACAACACGTGCTGTGCTCCAGGATTCTGCAGCTGTTGTTTACTGAGGGCAAACTCCAGTGATTGCTGAGTTGCTGCCTCAATGCTTGGTGTGTCTCTGTGCCTTTGATTAAAGCCTGTCATGGAAAACCCTCTGCTGGAAGGTGCTTACCAAGGCACTGGGGTTGTAACCTTGTCCCACCAAAACAGGCTGTTGTGACAGGATTTGAATGTGTAACCAGGGCAGCCAACAATGCAGACACTGGAAAACTAGGAAAATGCTAGGACTGAGCAAAAACCTTTCCCTTTCTGTGGAAATCCAGGAAAATAGATTCCCATCAGTTCTTCACCCATTGGCAGATTTCACTTTAGGCTGGGGCATTTCAAAGCAGAGTGCAGACCTGGATGCAAAAGCAGCTTCAGTGGAATACAGCTGGAAAAAAGAAGGGATACACGTGGTTAACAATAGATGGAGTTGTTCAGACTCTGTGATTCCATGTTTGAGGGGCACTATAGGATGGGTTATGCTGCTGGACCCCACAGTCTGCCAACTCCCAAAGCCTGTGTCACACAGCTGCAAGCAATGACCTGGGAGCTGAAATATTTCACTTCAGCAGAAAATTAGCTTCAGCTTAGTGACACACCAGGTTCTCTCTCTGCCTCCATCAGCATCACCCAGCTTTTCCTCCCAGCCAGCAAGGTTTCCTGGAGCTTTGGGGTCTTCTGTTCTCTTTAGCCAGTGGTGCCTGTGGGAGTAGGAAGAATTTGGAGATGTCCAAATTTGCAGAGATCAGAATTTTTCCTAATTCTTCAGGCAAGCCCCCTCATTTTTTTCTGCCCTGTAAACTCCCCATCAAGATAGGTGGGACAGGAGTGATGTGTTTGATGGAGGAGGAGGACACCCTAAATGTCAGGAAAGCAGCAGAGCTGTGTTGTGGCCTGTAGGTTTCTGTTTGCTTTCTGTCTGCACAGCTGCTGCATTCACCCATCAGTCATTTTTCCTGTGGTCATTAAGGGCTTTTCTGCAACAGGTCAGCAAAACAACGTCTAACAAGCAGAAATTAATCTTGTGAGGAAGAAGGTCACACATGAAAGAAATGGGTCTGATGCCAGCAGGTACTTCAGGTCCAGCAGGTCCTCTGAGCCAGGGAGCTTATGATTTTAGGAGGTCTCCCAGCCCTGTTGGTGCATTTACCTGCTTCACTGCTTTGGTGTACACATGCATGGGAAGGAGAGGCACAGCTCAAATTCCAGCTGGGTTAGTGCTCGCTCTCCACAGTTATTAAAATCACGGTGTCCGTGGGGTCCCAGCTCTTCATGGGTTCAGCATCTAAGAAGGCACCAAGGTTATGGGATCATGTGTGTCACCAGTGCATTGCCCCACACCTGTCCACATCTGGTGTCCAACAGACCTTCTGATGCCTCTCCAGGGCGAGTCCATACTCTTCATCCTGCTGCCCGAGCCTTCATGGTCCCTTTGACCATGGGGGATGACCCTTGGGATTGCTCTGGGACAGCGAGGCTCAGGCTCACTGGGGTTTGGCTTTAGCCATGAACATGGCTTAGGTTGTTCAAGCATCTTTTAAGGTCCAGGGCCAGGCTGTTGTCCCATCCCAGCTGCATCACAGCTGGAAAACCCCGTGAAAACCAGGCAAAGTCCTGATCTGCTCTGCTGCCTCCTGGGCACTGACGGCTCCTGGCAGCCTCACAGCATCTGTTTTCCATAAATCCCGTGTGCTCTTTGGTGCTGCCTGAGCAGGACTGGCTGTAAACCTGCCTGGGGTTGTGTTGGTGCTGTTCCAGCTCCTTGGCTCCTCCAGCTTGGTGGCTGTGAGGGAGCAGGTTCCCCTGTAGCATTTCAGTGAATCAAACGGGATCACAGTTATTTAAAATACCATCTCACTTCCTAATGGGCTGAAGCCTTGTCATGCATTTTTTTTTCCCTCCTAATAAGCTGGCCTTTCACCTCCAGGCCTCCCATTCAAGCCCAATTGGGCAATTTTAAATTAAATGCAATTTTTTTGAGCTCACTGCTCATTCACTAATGGTCACTGTCTGTTTGACAAATGTCACTGCGCTGATACTGAAATTAATGACCAGTCAAGAGCTGCTGAGCAGGGAATGGGAGCACTGCTGCCCTTTCCTCCCCATGCCTGCCCTGTGCCAGCTGAAAGGAAGCCTCTTAAATCCTGGCACTGCCAAGTACACGGTTAAATCAACAAATCCATCAGGAGAAGAGGCTGTTTACTCCCAGCTCAGCGGGGGGAAGTGTGTTGACAATGTCTTGGTGTTTAGACCTGTGTGTCTTTCTGAGTGATACAGCAACCTGTGCAGCTGGGGGAGCAGGGACTGACACAGATGGGTACTGGCTGAGCACTCAGTGCCTGAGCGTGGGGTCTGCAGGTGGAGGGGCTGGTGCCCCATCTGCCCTCCTGGGTGCAGAGATCCAGCCTGCAGCAGGCAGTGGTTTTATTCTCTGTCATGTTTGAACTCCAGTGTATTTAGCTTTTCTTTCACTATAAAATAAAGATAATGGTGGTTTCCTGTAGTGTGAGCTTTCACTGACCACACTTAATGTGTTAAGAGCTTTGATGGATGTCCAAGTGCTTTCCAGGGGCTTTTTTCATTCTCACACCCTCACATGGAGACTTCTGCACTCCATTATATTGACAGAATCATGGAATATCTTGAGCTGGAAGGGACCCACAGGGATCAAGCCCAACATATGTGTTAGCAGGGTGAAGCAAATTTTGGATGGCCCCAGTGTGATGGTTAATGTGATGGTGGTGCTGTTGCTGCTTAGTCAGTGCTCACAGTCCTGCTGGGAATGGGGACACTGAGCCAGTGGCACATACATGGATAAGGGAAATCAGGAGCAACTTGCAAAGGGGGATTATTGGGGTGGAAATCAGAAACCATTTGGAAGCAAACTTCAGAAAAATTCATGGACTGGTAAAGGGATATGACTGGGAAGCAAAGCATTTGGAGAGGTCCCAGAAAAGTATCAAGGAGTGAGGGAGCTTGTGGTACCAGGGAGGAGGAGAGGGAAGGAGGGTGACCAAGGGTGAGTGTCTGGAAAGCCCCATTTTTGGAGGAGGGAACAAAGGGATGAACCCAAGCTGTGAGCTGGTCTGAGTGGAGTCACCAAGCCAGGCTCAGGCACCCACCAGCAGTTTCTGTAATGATCCAAGAGGTTCCTGGGGCCAAAGAGACCCCAAGGGCTGCTGTCCCCGCTCTCCATGATGGGATCCCTCCCCTTTCCATTCCCCCTCTCATCTCCTTGGCTGTAGCAGGGACTTGTATCTGACCACTCCCAGCTGACTGCTGTGGTTCATCTCATGGTTTTACAGGCTGCTGGAGAGAAAAGACCATCAACAGACCTGGGCAAAAAGCCCAAAAGCCAAAAGAAGAAGAAAAAGAAGGACCCCAACGAGCCCCAGAAGCCCGTGTCAGCCTATGCCCTGTTCTTCAGAGACACACAGGCAGCCATCAAAGGACAAAACCCCAACGCCACCTTCGGGGACGTGTCCAAAATTGTGGCATCCATGTGGGACAGTTTGGGAGAAGAACAAAAACAGGTGAGTTACTGATTTATTTACTTTTTTTTTTTCTTTCAGCTGTTAAAATGTGTTTTTCTGTGGTACAGAGCGTGGCCAGGCTGGAGGGTGTGGTCAGGAACAGAGGCTGTTTTCAGGAGCGGTGCTGAAGTGCCCACTGTGCAAAACTGCTGTTGTTGCATTGGGAAGAGCAAATTTTTATGACAGCTAATTATTCTTGATAAGCTCATGCTCTGCGAAACCATCAGTGGCCTTTCCCTGACCTGGGGTTTTACAGCCTTGAATGGGAGATGGGTTTGTATTTGCTTATTTACTTACAAGGAGTGACAGTAAACTGGCTAAACACTATTAACTCCCTATATTGCTGCCTTCAAATCCAACATTCAGGCTTTAAAACCTGCAGAAGGAGATGTCTGGAGTGGCCTCACAGAGGAAACCTTCCTGCCCCAAAGCTGTCAGCCACTTTCCTCTGCTTCACACGGAGAATTCTGGGTCCTGCCTTCACTGTTTTGTTGCTGCTGAGTCGGTTACAAAAGCCTGTAATTGCTTGTTGCCTCTTGAGAGAACCCCAGGGAACACTTCCTGTTGCAAGGATGGGTTTTTATCAATCAGAGTGAGATCTGACACTGTGGGGTGTGTCCTGGATCCAAACAGGCTTTTTTCTGGGAGCCCTTCTCCTAAAACCTGGCTGCCAGCTCCTGTTGGGTGTCCATGGGCCAGCACTGGAAGCACCTATGTCTGGAGAAGCAGCAGCAGGGAGGAAAAAAGCCATTAAGCTGGAAGTCACGCTAGAAAATAGCCTTGTGGTTCATCTCATGGTTTTGGGAATACGAGCAAGGCATCTTCTGGGATGGAAGCCCTTCTGCTGCTCCATTTGGAGCCTCCATTCTGTGCAGAGTGGTGCTTTGATGTTCTCCTGATCCTCCCTTTTCTCCTCTTCAGCTGGATCCCTGGTAGATCATGCAGGCAGGAATTCCTCATGCTGAGGAGGGGAGGAAGGTGCAGCAGGGTGACCCCAGCCCTGGGCAGCTGCAGGGCAGGGGCTGGGTTGGGGTTGTTGGTGCAGGGTGTGGAGGTTCAGGAGGGTGGAAAAGCTTTCTGTCACCTCTTTCTCCCGGTCTCATCCCTCCCCAACATCTCGTTCTGCCTCTGTCTTGCTCCTCCTGGTTACCAACATCTCCATAGTTTGGGCTGCAACTGTGGCTCAGAGAATGGGAGCGCTGGGGCGACCCTGACTCAGCGCAGTGCAAATGCTCAGCTCTTAATTAACAGCAGGGATTAAACCAGCCCGTTTATCTTCCCTGCTAACTCTCCCTCCTTCTCTTTTATGAGCTTGCAGCAGCCTCGCTGTCTCTTTACACACGCTTTCTAAGTGGCTCCATTTCTCCCTCTGTAATTGATTTAATTAAGTCATTTGTTCCTTGTCTGAATGCTTAAATATTAACTTCCTGGCTTTGTCTCCAGCTGGATACTTCTCTCCCATAACAGTTACCTCCCTGCCCGGGACTCTGGCTGGAGGGACTCTATTTATCTTTGGCTCTGGGACCGTGTGGCTGATTTGTGCAATGTGGCACGTTCACTCTTTAAGTGTCTGGCTGCAGGAGAGTTTATTTAGTCCCTGTTTGCTTTCCTCCACCAGCATCCCCAGACAAGTTCTTTTTTTAGATTCACAGGGCAATGCAATGGAAAGGGAAAAAGGAAGAGAAAATTTTAAAAGCATTAACGAAATGTCTCTAATTTCTAAAAAAGAAATGCCTGGGCTGTGTGTAGATGTTTCCTGCCAAGGGCTCCAGGACAAGGTGCACACATTCCCAAGGAAGGCAAGCAGCCCATGCTGAGAGCTCTCCTGGCACGCCTGGAGAGGAGACAGGGATGGAGCAAGACAGCCATGCACCACTGGCCAAAATCCTTCTGGGACCTGGGAGTCCAGATTCCCACATGGCTGTGCCAAATCGTGGCTCAAATCGTGGCTCAGCTCATTGTCAGGCAGGAGCAGCATGCTCTGGGAAGGAGTGGAAATCAGGAAAAGGGAAGTGTTTCATGTGGGACACTGCTCTTACCTTTGTTGACAGCAGTGGCTCCATGTCCTCACTGCAGAAAGCAGGGCAGGAGACAGGCTGGGGAAAAGCCAGGACAGGGATGGCACAGCAGGCAAGCAAGAGCTCAATCATTACCAAAGCTTTAGTTCAGGAACACTTCCCCTCTTCCTCACATGAGAAAAAAGGGTGGATTTAAGGCTATAGGATCTGATCTGGAGCTTGTTCCACACTTGGATCTCTCACAGCCCCCGAGATGCTCATGGTGGGTCTGGGGCATCCAATCCCCAGGGGGATAACATGCAGACCCCAGCCCCACCATGCATTATTGCCAGTTGTTTCCATCTCTGCAATTTCTGCTTCAGATGACTTTTACAAACCTTATTCTTCACTTTCCAGTGGGCCCAGAGTTTCCTCAGTCCTGGATGTGTTTTGGCTCCTGCCTTGGCTCCTCCCTCTCTTTGGGAGAGCAGCAGGCAGGGAGCAACCAGGGAGGGGCTTCAAGGGAACCATAAACCCACCTGCAGCCAAGGTGTTTTGGACTTGTGATTCCCCACCCTATGTCAGCAGCCCCTGGCACATGTCCTGCTGTCCCTGCACTGCGTCCATCAATCATCCCATCACAGGGGTTGCACAGAGGTGGAGTGGCCACCGTACCAGTGCCAAAGGGATGAGGAAGGCCCACTGCTGGTGCCTTGTAGCCATGCTAGCCAGTGCCCTGGGCTGGGATGGATGGCTCTGTGCCCCCTCCAGAACCTCAGCCCCTCTCCAAGGACACCACATGGAGCATTTCTGCCATCAGCAGTGAGATGCCACCCCTTTGCCAGGTAGCCCTGTCCAGCACATGGAGGGTTAATCCTCTGCCATTTGTGCTGCTAATGATTATATGCACTGTAATATCAAAGCTGTAGCTATTTATTTGCCATTGAGCAGGTGCTGCTGCTCCCACAAAGCAAATTTGCTTTCTCCTCCTGATGAAACAAGCAAAATAAAGGTTGCTCATGTCCCATTTCAGATATGTTTTTTTTTTCCCTGTGCACCAGCTGAAAGACAAACACAGAGAGGGAACCAGAATGCATATTATGCAAGAAGCCATATAATCTAGGAGCATCTTTGATTTGGCTGCTGCTGTCACAGACATGCATTTCACAGAGAGGCTTCCCCCCCCCCTCTTTCCTTTTGTTCTTACTGGTTTATCATTTGTGCCTTTGTCATTTTGTTCCTTCTTCTCTTCTCAGCCTCTTCACAATGAATCTTCATTTTCCCTCTGACACACTTGTATCTAAATTTCCTTATTTCCTGCCTTTTTTTATTTATATCTGTTGCCTGGTGATTTGATCATGCTGTGGAATACAGGATTAGCAATCTCCGTGTCCTTGGGTACTGCTCAAGGACACCTGTTCGGCAAAGCTTCGTTTTCTTCCCCATTTTAACCCCTTCCAGCGAGTGGAACAGTAATAAATAACAATACCTTGAAATATCTCCAGCTCTGCGTTGGCAGGACATTGTAATCTTCATTCTTCAACAGCTGGCGTGGCCCTTTCTAAGAAGCTTACACGGGAATCTGAAGAATGTGACTCGGGGAAAAAAAATATTAATATGTCCTCTTTGAACTTCACAAATAGTTTAGCAGCTGTTCCTGCAGAGATAGCTTAGACTCTGCTGGAGAGGGAAATGCTAATTCAGCCATTAGCATCAAATGGGGTACCTGTCCTAGGAATCCGCCTGCAGCTCCAGGTCCCAGCTCCAGGCTCCCAGAAATCCTGTGCCTCCTGTGCTGGGAGTTTTTTTCATTAGCAGGTCTCAACCTGGCAAGGATTAAAAGGGCTGCCTGATTTGACAGAAATTAGAGGAATTTGAGGACTATTTTGGAGCAAACTCTGCTAATTCCCTGGGAAGAAGGATTTTTGCCTGGCTCCGGTGGAATGCTGGCAGCCTGGTCCCAGCCCATGCCACCCTCAGCCCCCTCGTCTCCACCAGCAGTGCCATCTCTGCTCAAGAGCTGGTGACACCAGCCCTGGTGGCTGTCCTCCCACAGGGGGATTTCCTGTGAGTGGTAAGCCTGAAAACTCTCTGGAGTGTATTGAGGAGTTACTGGTGGGATTCACTCTTCTCTGCCATGTTCCTATTCCCTTTCTGAGCAACTTTCTGTTGTGAGCATTGGAAACTGGTGATGCTGGAGCATGGGATATGCTGCCAAGGTGGCATTTGCAGATGTATCTGGAACCTGCTGCTTCTGATCAGGAAATCCAGCCATAAAGTCAAAGCATTGGGTCGGTGTTTTCCCTTAAACCCTGGAAAATCAGGGCAGAGGAATCAAGGAACTCCAGAGCAACCTGCTGAGTGAACCCCAGGCTAACCCAGGTTTTCCCATCCAAAATGAGCACAAGTTGGATAAAACCAACATTTCCAGTTGAGTTTATGAGTCTGGGGGCTCACTGGGGACACAAAGGTACCGGGGACAGCATTAGCCCTGCCTCACCAGGACCAGTTCAGTAATGCCAGGTCGCTCGGTGGCCAAATGCGTGTGGGATTTTCCCAAACAAATGCACAGCCTAGAGAACTACACAGCTCCAGGGGTAAAGTCACACTCCAGGGGTAAATTAGCCAGCAGAAAAATTGCTCACTCGGCAGAAAATAATAGATCACCCATTTAATCAGATCCATCTGCTCACTGAACCTGTTACCTCACCTGGTGACAGGACACTGCAGGTATCTGTGGTGGGACAGAGGCATCTCAGGCCAAAAGTAAAGCTCTTTTATGGAAGAGCCATCACAGGGGAGAGATCCCATGGGAATGGAAAGCAGCAGGTGCTGCAAACCGGCCAATTCCAGCACTGGAGTCAGTGCTGGAGCCACCATGAGTTGCAGATTCCTCCTGCAACCCCGAAGCCCTGGCAGTGAGGGGCTGCTGAAGGGTCCAAGCAGTCACTCTGGCCTGAAAGGAGCTTTCAGCATCTTCTGAGCATCAAGGACAGCTGGAGAAGCACCAATCCCAAACAAGGTTTCAAGAGGGTTGTGATGGAGAGCGGGATAATGACAGGGAGGATGTGAAGGGTCAGATCTCCTAACAGCAGCTCCAAGAGCCTGACTTCTCTTCTTGGAGAGCAAGATCAGAAGCGTGGAAAGATGAGTGTTGTGTGTTTTTCATTGGAGGTTAGGGGTTGGATCTGTCAGCCTCCTCCTCTGCTTGCTTCAGAATCTTCCAGGGGCTGTCCTGGGAACACTCTTGGTGCCCTCACATGGAGTGATGGATGACTTACACCCTGGTGGCACCGTGAAGTCAAGGCAGGGGGAAGCAGGAATCTTTCAGGTTACTTTAATGACTGGTGGTTGCTGCTTGATTACAGGTCCACCCATTCATTGTCCAGAGGGCTGCTTCACAACACCGTGTCTCCACCAGGATAACAGGGAAGCTCTCCTGAAACCGTGCAAATAGTTCCCATAGCCAGGGCCTTTCCAGGGGCTGTGACTGACCCTGCTCGTGACTTTCGAGTCATCTTGTGAATAAGCCATAAGTTATGGTGATCCCGAGACATATCTTGCAGGAAAGTGTGTAATAGTGACAAGAAAAAACCTCCAGATTTACAAGCAGAATAAAACCCAAATTTATACATTTGGGGGAAAAAAAAAAATCCAGTCATGGAATCATAGAAAGGAGAGCAAGGAGGGACTTAAGAGGTCAACCAGACCATACTGCTGCCTGAAGTCAGGATCATCTCTACTTAAGCCATTCCTGATGGATGTGTGCCTAATCTGTTCTTAAACCCTCAGTGGTGGAGATTACACATCTCCCCAGGCAATCTCTTCCCGTGCTTAATTATCCTTACTTTCCAGTGCTTAGCCAACATTTCCCTTGTTACAATTTAAGCCTATTGCCTCTTTTCCTGGATGGACAGGATCACTTGGTGCCTCCTTTGCTGCGCTGTGTTCGGAGATGTGGCTACTCTTGGTCTTCCCTCCCAGCTTTCCTCCTGGAGACCTCTCCTGCCCTTCCCATCTCCTCTCTCCTGATGGCCTACCTCTTTTTTTGGAATAAACTCCACCTAGGATTGAAGCAGAGACCTTTCCTCTTGGGATCAGCGCACCCCTTGATGTTTTGGGGGAAGTAGGGGGGGAGAGTTTTGAGTTCTTTCCATCCTTCCCCTGGCTTGGGAAGCAGCGTTCCTGCTGAAGCAGGCGGGCTGGGACGCAGGGGTTACCGATAACAGCTCTGGCTGTCACTCAGAGCCTGCGTGACACGGAGCCGTTCGTGGGCGTCAGCGGGGTTTGGAATAATTGTCTTCTCTAATTAACTGGTTATCAAACAAGAACATTTCATTACGCTACAATTACTGGCTGCTTTGCTGAGACACAGAGGTGTCAGGATTACGATCCCAACATATGCTTCTTACAGCTCTGATTTTTTTGTTTTCATAATCACTAACCATTTTTGCTTCCTCCCCACCCCCCCCCTTTCCCCAACCCACCCACTCACTTAATGACTAATGAATCCTCCTGCTAATGAATAGGGAAAATAAATCAGTGGGCATGGCAGGTTAGAAAGAAAAACATGCAAAATGTTTTGAGGATCTTTAAATCTGATAAATTACTTTGAAATTAAAATCCCTGGGAGAAAATGGGATTTAATTAGAAAGTAACGTGGTTTTGTCAATGTTTAAATTAAAATTTTAAAGGTTATAAATGAGGCACTAGAACTGCCTTTACACAGAGGATTCGTGAGAAGTTTTGTTCGGATCTGCTCTTCCCACGTCAGCGTGGCAATTCCCCAGGGACAGGCAGCTGAGTGTCCTTGGTGGAGCCCTGTGTGGGTGCAGAAACTCCACATGGTGAGGGCAGGACTGCAGAATTCTCATCAGGAGACCTTTAGGGATGGTTCTTTACAGTGAGGGTGGGGAGGTCCTGGCACAGGTTGCCCAGAGAAGCTGTGGCTGCCCCATCCCTGGAAGTGTCCCAGGCCAGGTTGGACGGGGCTTGGAGCAGCCTGGGATGGAGGAAGGTGTCCCTGCCCATGGCAGGGGAGTGAAACTAGGTGGTCTTTAATGTCCCAAAATCATTCCATTCCAAACCCAAACCATTCTGTGATTTTATGATTAAAAATCAGATAATCCACCAGGAACCTTCCAGAGGGAAGGAGGGAGCTCGAGGGATTATCAGGAGAAAGCACAACCTGGGCTATCCCTGTGACCCTTCTGGGTAGCCCTGCTCGTGACCAGGCTTGAGCCAGGGCTATCCCAGCAAACTTGGAGGCTCCTGCTTGGAGCAATCCCCTGTTCCCTTCAGGAGGATGTGCCATTTGGCTGCCCTTTCCCAGTCTTGCTGCACCAGACACCACCTGGCAGCACATCCCAATACAAGGGAGGTCCAGTTCCCCCTCACACCTTAAAAAAAGACAAGACCAGCTGAAAAAGTGTCCAAAAAATAAAAGGGTTTAGCAGATAAAGCAAGTGGTGGGGATGAAGATAGGCAAAGAATTTACTGGTTATTAATTTCTTTGCATTTGGGTTTAGGAAGTCTGATTTGCCTGCCCTCTCACTGTCCAGAAATTGCAGGTTTTTCTCCAGGCAAGTCTTCCTGATAATTGGATTTGGCTCTGTGTAGCTGTGAATACTTTGATTTCTGATCATCTCAGAAAAAAAGGCAAGGCAAGGCAAGGAAGGGAAAGGATTCTGTTGTATTTTGATATTACAGACTTTTAAAAAAAATTAAATATGCTTTCAATACATCAGCACCCAGCTGGGGCCACTGTTCATATTTCATTTCTGTGCTGGGTACCAAATTTAAGAGCTGGGTACCACATTTAAGAACATCCAGCAGCAGAGCTGGTGGATACAGGACATGCTGTCCTGGTGGCACTGGTGCTGCTGCTACAGGCACAAACCTGGTCTAGTGGAAGATGTCCCTGCCCATGGCAGGGGGGCAGAACTGGATGAGCTTTAAGGTCTCTTCCAACTCAAGTCATTCTGGGATTCTGTAATAAAAGATGTGAAGATTGTAGAGAGAGAGGTAATAGCTTTTATTAAGGGAACTGATACAGTTTGAAGAAATAGTTGCTTTTCACAGGCAAACTCTTCTTCAGGCTGACATTTTGAAATGTAATTTTGTTCTGAATGGAGCAAATATAGTATTTCCTGAATACCATAAAGCCAAAGACAAACTTAGGGAAACGCTCCATTTCAGAAAATTACCGTCTGAGACCTCCAGTGTGTCGAGTCAAAATGTTTCATTACAGGAGTCGCTGTGATTTAGCAATGAAAATAAGGCTTTCCAATCCTTTTTTAATAGAATTTGTCTGTACTGATGTTAAATTCAGGTAACTGGATAGTTTAACTGCTAGAGGTTATTTTCCCTTCCGAGGTCGGTGTTGGGAGGGAGTCTGGGGTGCTGCCAAGGAGCTAAATCATAGAACCTTAGGACTGTTTTGGTTGGAAAAGACCTTTGGGATCATCCAGACCGACCATTCCCCCAGCACTGCCAAGGCCACCACTAAGCCATGTCCCCAGGTGTCACATCCATCTGGCTTTTAAACACTTCCAAGGATGGTGACTCCACCACTCCCCTGGGCAGCCTGTGCTGGGGCTGGACAACACTTTCTCTGAAGAAATTTTCCCTAATATCAGGTCTAAATCATCCTGGACAGAGATGTGCCTGTGAAACTTCAGCCTCTCAGTTGCTGAAAGCTCTCATTGGTTTTGAAACCAAATTAAATGTATGCAAATCTGTTCTAATTGAAATCAACTTTCAGTGCACTGCTTGAGGAGGGGTTTGAGTTTCCAGTGAGGAAGAGGGTGGGTATTTTTCTTGGGAGTTTCTGCCTTTATCCTGAAGTTTTTATTCCATTTTAAAATATTCTTCCCACTCAGTTTAATCTGTGTAGCCCCACAAGGACAGGCTGGATCTCACCATTATTTTACTGGAGGTCCTCCATCTCCATATGTGAAGGACCAAGGTCTGTGCAGAAAGGGGACCAGCACACCAGCACATCTCTCATTATGGGGAGAGATGGAAGAATAACCAACAATTCACTCTTACAAAGCTTTATTGTGTTTTTTTTTTCCTTAGAGAAGTAAACTCTCCTGATACTTGCTGTTTCCCACAAGCCCCAGCTCAACAAGTCTTAAGATTAGCCAAAAATCTCAGCTTTTATATGATGAGAAAACAGTTCCCCACTGTCCAACCTGCAGAGAAGAGCTGGAGTTTTGAGCTCTTAAAGGCTTAATGATGGGATAGCCAAGAAAGCAAATGGATAGTTTAGGATTTCTGGATGTCTCACCTGTTTTTAAGCTAGTCATCATCATAGAGTCATAGAAGGGTTTGAGTTGAGTTGACCTTAAAGATAGTCCTATCATTTGAGGATTTGGGCTTTTGTCTTGCTCTTCCAAGACCCTGGATCGTTCTTTGTTTTTGTTCCTCTTGGGAAGTGGTTTCACTGATTTCACCTTGTAAAATCAAGCTGTGTCTCTGAGAGCAGACATGTATAAATTCCTGTCTAGGCACATAGACTACTCTGACCTGTGATTTCTCCCAGAATCCCAACGAGATCCACTCCAGGGGCTTTGTGTTCTTGGTTTGGGGTAAATTCCTGTCTATGAGTTTTTCATACACATGGCCCCAGTGGAGGGGATCCCACTGAGCAAGCAGGATGCAGCCAAGCCCAGCATCACCCTATTTTGCTTTGTTAATTATTTTCCATTCCCTGGTCCTTTCAGGCATACAAGAGGAAAACAGAAGCTGCGAAGAAGGAGTACCTGAAAGCTCTGGCCGCGTACCGGGCCAGCCTCGTCTCCAAGGTACCTTGCTGCTGTGGGACAGGGCAGTGCTGGGAGTTGCAACTCCCAGGAACCTCCTGGAAGGAGCAAATTTCTAGGAAATACCACGTAATTGTGATATCAGAACCGATATCAGCTCTGGCACCTTCCCCAGTCTTTAGCGCCCTGCAACAAAACCCCACTTTGGGTTGGTTTCATCAGCAGGGGAGGGGTGTCCGTGCACAGGGTGTTGTCCCTATTGCCTGTCCCCACCACCAGCAGCTGTTCCTCACCCAGCTCTTGGGATGTGAGTGCAGCAAACAGGGGCAGGAGGGCGAGGCTCACCGTGGGTGCCACGGGGCACTGGCCCAGGGGAGGACGGGCTCACTGGCCAGCACTGGTACCAGCATCCTGCTGCACCCTGCTCCAGGCACTTGGGCTGTCCTGGCTGCTCAGGGCCTGCACACCCCAGGTCCTGCACACTCAGCCTAGAGCAGATTTTTGCTGCCTGTGAATTTGGGGTGGCTCCTGTGGAGGTGGCAGGTTTGCTGGCTCAGGGGTAATGCTGCCCTTGGGTTGTGAGTAAATGCATCAGGTTGGTTTTTCTCAAAGCTTCTCCTTTGTACTACACCACATCCTCAGCACTTAATCATCACGTTCAACTGGCATGGGAAATAATGTGATGTCCCAAATCAACCATCATCTGCGGGATCCGTGTGATGGTGGTGAGCTGAAAAGCCTCAAAGTCCCTGTGCTGTCAACTTGTAAACAGAAGAGCAGCCAGGACAGAAAAAAGGAATGGGAAAGACTTTTGGGAGTTTGAAAACTCTTCTTGGACCTTCTGGAAACGTGTTAGGGTCCTGCCTTGGCCGTGCCTCGCAGCAATGTGGGGCAAGAGGCACGGAAGGTGTGTGCTCCGTGGCTTCATTTTTTTCCAGTTTCTCCAATGACCAATTCTCTGCAGAAGGGCAACTTTGTTTTTGAGTAAAGCAGCACAGTGTGATCCTGGCTGATGGGTGAGAAAGGATCTGGAGTATCATTACAGAGCCCATCACAGGACAAAAGCCTCATTGTCCAACCCAGAAAATTTCCCCTTGTTCTTCCCTTTCTCCTGCTGAAATGAGGACACCGTTGTCCAGTGCATTATAGACACGCCAGGGCTGCAAGAGGGCACAGGAGGAGGAAAGCAGAGGTTTTATAGACCCATTTCTTCTCCACTGGAAGTAAAATGTGGTCACCCACCTCTGTGGACTGAAGCAGTGAGCTTCTTCACTGGTTATTTCCCTCGGGTGCTCCAGGCTCTGCCAGAGGTGTGGTTGAGTTACTGGACCTCAGTTTTCCGGATAAGGATGCTGCTCCCAGCCTGTGGACACCCAGCTGCTAGAGGGGTGGGAGTTCATGTGCAGGCTGGTGGGGTGTGGGCAGCTCGGTTGGGCAGACGGACATCTCGGGACATGTTTGCTCTTTTCCTCCCTCATCGTCTTCCATTCTCTTTTCCCACAGAGCTCTGCCGACCAGGGGGAGACGAAAAGTGCCCAGAGCAACCCACCTTCCAAAATGATCCCCCCCAAGCAGCCCATGTACCCGATGCCTCCGCAGGCTTCCTCACCCTACCCCGGCCTGGGCTCCTTCCTGTCCCCGTCGGACCTGCAGAACTACCGTGGCCACCCCCACCCCGGGCTGTCCCGGCCCCTCAGCTCCAAGCCCATGCTGCCCAGCATCAGTGCCTCCCCCCCGCCCTCCTTCCAGATCAGCCCCCCGCTCCACCAGCAGCTGTCCTTGCACCACCCGCAGAGCTCCCTCCTCAGCCAGCCCCTCAGCATGCAGCAGGTCCCCCAGCAGCCCCTCCTGTCCCCCCCCATGGCACTACAGGTACAGCCCCCCATGAACGCCTCGCCTCCCGGGCAGCAGGTGGGTGCTGGGTCCGGCGGGTTCGGGGCGGTTTGGGGGTCTCGGTGTTGATGTTGTGCCCAAGGGAGTCGTGGAGCACGTCCAGGGAAGGGAACGGAGATGGGGAGGGGGGTGGAGAACAGGGAAGGGCTGAGGGAGCTGGTGGGGGGGGCTCAGCCTGGAGAAAAGGAGGCTCAGGGGGGATCTTCTGGCTTTCTGCAACTCCCTGAGAGGAGCGGGGAGCTGGGGGGGCACTGGCCTGTGCTCCCAAGCAACCCAAGCAGTAGGACAAGTGGAAACAGCCTCAGGTTGCACCAGGGGAGGGTTAGGTTGGATATTGGGAAAGATTTCTTCATTGAAAGGGTGATCACTGGAACAGCTGCCCAGAGAAGTGGTGGAATCACCGTCCCTAGAAGTGCTCAGAAAATGTGCAAATATGGCACTTGGGGACACGTTTTAATGGTGGCCTTGGCAGTGCTGGGTTAATGGATGGTCTCAGTGATCTTGGAGGTCTTTTCCAACCTTAGTAATTCTATGATTCTGTGACTCCTCCAGCACAGGGGTTGAGCTTTAGCTCTGCACAACCAGAAGTGGTTTCTATGATTTGGTGGTAGCTTGTGTCCAGAAAAGAGCATAAAAGGGGATCCTCACAGTCACTTTAATTGGTGTAGTTGTTGCTGCTGAGGGCAGCATTCTGTGAAACTTCACTCCACATAAATTTGTGAATAAAACATTTAAATTAAAAAAAAAAAAAATTGTTGCTGCATTGACATCTGTTTGCAAGAAGTCACAGGTCCCACCATGGTGGTTTGGGGGTCCTGGGCTTGGACTGGGGCTCCCCCTGCACATTTTAGGGACAGTGCACATAAATGTGTTTATGCACTGCTGTTAGATCTGCTGTTCTCCTGCTGTGGATGCTCCTGTAACCCTCCCTCTCCTTCCCACCCTGCAGGACTTCTCCCATATTTCGTCTGAGTTTCAGAACAGTGTTGGACCCCGTTCGCCTGGCGCATCAAACCCTCCAGGAAGCACTGAGTGGGACAGCGACTACCCCAGCAGAGAGTGTGGGGTCAACCACTGCAGGCCAGTAGACAAAACAGCCCACTGCTAATGCAGTTCCTGTGATCTGAGCTGTGGCAGTGGACAACAGCTGGGAACCTGCCCTAAAATGTACAGCAAGAGGGTAGGCCAGTTACGGTCAGGGAAGTTCAAGGCTTCCTTGCCTCTGTAGGCTCACCTGGAAGCAGGCAGCTTAAAAACCATGGATAAATTCTTTACTGGACATGAAGAGATTTCTTTTTTTTTTTATTATTATTTTCATCCAATGAGTAGCAGAGGGGTTGGGCACATTTCCTTCTAGAGCAGACCAGGGAAGCCCAGTCTCCCAAACAGGGTCCCTGGAGGTTTGAAGGTGGCCCTGCCCATATGTCCAGGGGGACCTCATTGCAGCTTTCCAGTATTTAAAGGGGGCTTACAGAAAAGAGGGAGAACAACTTTTTAAATGACTAGATAGTGATAGGACATGGGGCAACAGCTTTAAACTAAAAAAGGAGAGATTTAGATTGGATATAGGGAAGAAATCCTTCCCTGTGAGGGTGGGGAGGCCCTGGCACAGGGTGCCCAGAGAAGCTGCAGCTGCCCCATCCCTGGAAGTGTCCAAAGCCAGGTTGGATGGGGCTTGGAGCAACCTGGGCTAGTGGAAGGTGTCCCTGGCCATGGCAGGGGGTGGAATGAGATGAGATGAGATTTAAAAGTCCCTTCCAACCCCAACCATTCTGTGCTTCCGTGTTTAGCAACGTCTGTCTGTTCCTAAAGCGATTGCTCTTATCCCTGAGGCCACAACCTCCCATAATTGTCTCTACCAGCCGGTCCACAGACACCTGCACAGATCCTCTCCCTTATGCCCTACAAGCTCTGGCATGAATGTGCCAGCATGAAGGTTCCTTCAGTGTGGCAGTAGATTCCTCAATAAATAAAAACCTCGGGATGGTCCTTAAGCTGGGGAACAGGGAGGGTGTGGAAGCCATTTCCAACCACTGCCTAATCCACTGCTCTTGGCTCAGCTTTAATAGTTTGGAGATTCTATTGTGCTCTGTGAAGCAGGCCTGAGGTTTGCAGGGGGAGCAGGTTGAGAAGGAGGCCGGGTACCTTTGGAGTATTGTTTGATTCACTAGAAGTACTGGAACATGGTGCTTTCAGAGGAGATAATAGCCAGCTCCCAGGCTTTTCAGAGCACAGCTCCTGTCTGTGCCAGCAGAGCACTTACAATTGCCAGGCTGTACAGACTGTACAGACATTTATTTCTTTCAGGAAGATAAATAACTGGCTGATCCATTAGAATATCTCTGCTGTCTGCCTGCCCGAGGGGGCTCAGCGACGTGGGCTCTGACAGTGACCTTTGCGTGGTCCTTCCTGAAGCCTCTGCAGACAACCTGAAAGAAGGAACATGTTCAGGGCCTGGTCATCAAGTCACTTTTAATGTTGTTGGCAAAATGCTAAAGGTGCTTGGTGGGGTGTGGATCTCAATTTCCAGAGGTGCTGAGCAGCTCCCACAGAAATGAGCCCCCCCTAGAGATAAACATCATTTCTTAGGGAAACACTTGATTCCCTCTGCAAATCCCACTGCCTGGGCCCCATGCAGAGAGCCCAGCGTGCTCTAGAAATGGGTGTAATGTTCCCATAGCAGTAAGGACTGAGTTTTGTTGTGCTGAAACAAACCCTGTGACATCTGGCTGGAGTGCTGCATTGTAAGCAGAGGGCCCATGCAATTCATGATCAAAGCTCATGCATTTCATGCCTTTGTCACAGCAGAAATATCAAATTTCATGGGTTTATCGCAGCTTCCTGGAAAAGAAAAATCATTCTAAACCCAAACAGATTATGCAGAGACTTCCAGATAATTATTAGAGTAGATTACACCAAGGAATTCAGATGGATATAGATCAGTACTGCAGAGAGTGCTTAGTGCACTGAAAAATGTCATACTGGCTGTTAAGGATACCCCATCCCTGGAAGTGTCCAAGGACAGGTTGGACAGGGCTTGGAGCAACCTGGTCTGGTGGAAGGTGTCCCTGCCCATGGCAGGGAGGTGAAACAAGATGAGCTTTGAGGTCCCTTCCAACCCAAACCGTTCTATGATTCAATGACTTCCCTTCTGTGATGCTTTCTCTGACGTACTTTGCAGCAGTTTGTACCCAACGTTCAGAGTTTCCCTTGGGCTCCTCAGGGGCACCTTGGCATGAGCTGGGTGGGTCCAGCCATCAACAGGACCTGGGCACAGCAGTGATGAAGGGAAGGCAGGTTCTGGCTGGGTTTGATCTGTCAGTGCTGTTTTAGGTACAGTGGGGTAGTCTCTGGGTCATGTAATTGCCCATTTCAACCTCGAAAGTGCCTTCAGCCTCATTGCAGTTAAAGCAGCAAAATGCTGGCTGGAAAGAAAAGGAATCATTCACTGATGGGATGTGACTGAGCTGTAGAGTCCTGGATTCCTGAAAGAGAGGATGGTCCCACCCTCCCCAGCACACAGACAGTCCTGCTCTCTGGGTTATGATTTTTATTTCATGTCTAACCTCGATATTTCTGTAGCTTCCAACGTGTGTTGGCACTGGGTTAGCTGGGGTAAAAACCTCCCCAGTCCTCATTTTCTTTTGTGTTTGTCACCCAGACAACTTCTGGAAAACTGACAAGGTTGTCTTTCTCTCCGTCCTTCTTCATTAATAAGGGAACTGCTGTAGGGATTTTTGTTTCCCAGCCTATCTGTGCTAGTTAAAATGCCATTAAATGACACTTCTTCCCACATGCCCCTCAGATTCTGGGATCCTATGAGCAGACACTCCTTAATTCATAACTCAGCCATGTTAGAGAGAGAGAGACTTTTAAATGTTTGTTATCTCCTACTTTCCCCATTCTTAATGACTTTTTCCTTACTGACTTCCATCCAATTCTCCTGGCTCTTTCTGGGCTGAAGCCCAAGCTGTCCTAGATTGTGAGCAAAGACATGGGTAGCATTTCTCAGCTCCTGCTTGGTGTGTGACTGTCACTTCCCACAAGTAACTGCAGCATACAATTTTATTGCTTTTTTGCCATCATATCACAAACTCCTTTCATAGTCCCCTGTCTCCCTCACCTGACAGCCTGATTCTGGCACTTGCTCTTTCCCAGGCACTGAATTCCTCTGTTTTGCAGTGACTTTCTCCAAAGGGAACTGGCTCACCTCTGTTGGAAGTGCAGCTTGGTTTACAATCACATGCAAATCTTTCTGGATTCCTTAATTTAACCTTATTTCCTTGAAGCACCTCACTTATTTTTTCTGTCTTGTTTTCTGATTACAACTCTTTTCACCCCTTCAGTGGCTGGGTCCCTTCCATCCTAGGACATTCTGTGATTCTATGATTTACCTTTTTCTCCTCACATTGAGGCATTTTTGGTAAAAGCACTGAACTGGATTCATCTTTTCTTGTCCTTCCTCTCACTTGCAAGGCACAGATTAGGGGTTTTTTGTGTATCATCCTTCAACTTTTCTCCACTCTTCCCACTCTCCTTTGGACTAAAAGACAGAACACTCTCCATTATGCCTTGTCCAGACACAAAAAAAACATGTACAGCCACTCCATCCAGACATTTATAACCTCCCTAATTCCTGCTAATGACAAAGTGATCCTCTCCAAATGGGGGAATTTTCCAAACCAGAAGCTAAATGAGCAAACACTATAAAAAGGCAAGGATAACCCATCACAACTGCACTTAGTTTGAATTCAATTATTTATGTTAATACTTTGTAATGAACTGGGAAATGTTCTGTAGCATGTTTTGTAAAATTAATGAAGTTTTAGTACTGGAATACCTTGCTGCTGCTCAGTGGCATTAAATCTTTGCTGAGTGCAGTAGGGAAGACTCTGCATTTTAAATGCAGATTATAAAATGTGGAGATTAGCAAAGGGCGGGCTCTTCGCTGTCACAAGGCAGCTCTATCAACAACAGCACTGCCTTGCTGTCTGTCCCTTCCTTATTATTCCACTCACCAGCACACCCACACCAGAATTTCCCAAGGCTTTGCAATGTTCTTCATCACTTTTTAAGGCCAAGATGCCCTTATGGAGCCAGTGATGTTTCCCTCACGAATGTGTAGGCAATAAACCCCCTTAAAATGCCTGGATTTCACAGCAAAACCCACTTAGGATGTCAGCCAGGGGAGAGGGGTGTCAGTCACTCTTCTCCCTGCTATTCCATGAAAAAAAGATAATCTGGTCTCCCTTGTAGGACACTGCTGATGGCAAATTGAAGTTGGCCAGGGGGTTGAAATGCCACAGGCAGGGAAGGGAGCAGTGATGCCTCTCTGCACCCACCTTGGTGTCCCCAAGAGGGCTGTCTCAGTGCTGTGAGCTGATTGCCCCCTCCAGAACACACCTGGATCTCTTGACATCAAAACCATGGGGTCAGTAATGTGATACATTCACGACCTGCTGCGCCAGGGGCGTGCAGAGCACACAGCCTGGCTGCTGTCCCAGCAGCCCTCCTCTGCAGCCTCCTTGGATTCCTTGTTCCTCCTGCTGTCTTCTTCAGACCAGCTAATCCTGCTCTCTCAAAGATTTATTTCCCCTCACTTCTTGATTATTAATTTTTTTTGAATTTTTTGTATTTGGGGGAGAAAGGCTTCGAGCAGATGGTGTCTCCTGCTCCTGTGCTCTTAAGCTCTGAAACAGATGTAAATCCTCCTCACACTCATCTTCAGGCATAAGCCCCTCAGTCACATTTTTGGGACCCTCTACTCCTTACATAGTGTCAGGATGACATATTTTATCCAAATTCAGGTGTGTGCTTTCTAAAGCTCTGTGGCTCAGCCCAAGGGCAGCATGTGATGAAGGAGGGGATGGTGGCCCAGGGGCTGATCCCTGGCACAGCACTCCAGTATCTTGCTGGTGTGATCTGCAGGGACATCCTGCCCCGCAGCCCCAGCAGGAGTTAAAATTGAGCCACAGGAAGGAATTTATGTCGTAGTCCTTATTGTTGAAATTCAGGGATAAATAAAATTGCACCAGGCTGTTATCCTTACTCTTAGTGGGGACCTTTTTGCTCTCTACAACTACCTGAGAGGAGGGTGAAGACAAGGGGATGTTGTTCTCTTCTCCCAAGTGATGGTACAAGAGGAGACAGCCTCTTGTGTTGCACCAGGGGGGGTTTAAATTGGATATCAGGGAAAATTTCTTCACTGAAAGGAAGGTCAAGCATTGGAAGGGGCTGCCCAGGGCAGTGGTGGAGTCACCATCCCTGGAAGGATTTAAAAGCTGTGTAGATGTGGCACTTGGGGACACGGTTTAGAGGTGGCCTTGGCAGTGCTGGGGAATGGTGGGACTCGATGATCTGAGAGGGCTTTCCCAACCTCAGCAATTCTGTGACTTTTACGTGCCTCTGCCTCGCCCCCCTCTCTGTACAAACCCCTTCATGTTTTCATTGCAGAGCACCGATAATAATGAATAAATCCCTGGCGCGTGCCAGCTCTCCCGCTGCCGATCCCAGCTCCTCCAGACAGACCTCTCTGCTTTGCCCCGTCTCACCTCGTGCCTCTCGTTTCTCTTACAGCATGCTGCCAAGGGACAAGGCACTCTACCTCACCTAAGGTTCACCACCCCTTTTTTGGAGGAGGCTCAGACGAAGGACACTTGAGAGGGGTCTATCCCACGGACCACCCCGGGGAGGCACGAGCAAGTCGTACGGGTGGGAGAGCTGCCACTTTGCAACCTCGTCGCTGGCTTCGTTCCCAGGCTCTAAGAGCAGTTTGTTGGGTTGTTTTGTTTTTGTTTTTGTTTTTTCCTTTTCCTTATTTTGGAACTCTAAAAGTCTACTACTTTTCCGTGCAAGCCCAAAAAAAAAAAAAAAAAAAAAAAAAAAAAAAAAAAAAAAAAAAAAAAAAAAAAAAAAAAAAAAAAAAAAAAAAAAAAAAAAAAAAAAAA